CATCAGGACGCTCTTTCCCAGTTCCACAGGTAGAATTTTGGCTGAGTCACAGGCTTCTGCTGCAGCAAGGCTCCCCTACATCCTCTTCACAACTCAGGCCAGGGCTTGAGAACACCATCTGGCTCTTACTTCCCTTGCTCGCTGTTCACCATTGTTATCCTACTTTGAAAGGAGAATGTAAAATAGGATGCTGGGCTGTGATAGTGCCTGTGCAAACTGGTGCCACTAGAGGGCATTGCATGCCTCCTGAAACAGCCAAGTGGGAAGAAAATCTTCCAACCATGCAGTGTCCAGAGGACACAGAGCTGGCTGCTGGTGCTGGAGCTTCCAGGCAGCTGGAAACACTAGCTGTAAGCGGTATGAGCAGCTCCATTAATTGCCATGGAATGTTAGTTCTGAACAATGATCATGATCCAGGACAACACAAAAATCTGCAGCCCTTTGAAAATGTGGGTGTAGCATGGAATGAATTGCATTGGATAAGTAACAAAGTGTCTGCTGTGCTGATTGCAGTATTCACTGTCAGGTTTTATTCCATAAACCTCCATTCTTAAAATGACTTGACTCTGCCACAGAACTTCCATCCTGCCTGTTCTATTGGAAGAGGAATCTGGGGACTTTGTTGCTGATTGAGGCCCAGCTTGTTGCAAAGTACACAGGGGCATGATTATAATTTGAACCGGAGCCTTTCATAGCTATGTTATTGATTCATATCCAGCCTGGGTCAACAGAGGATGACTTTCCAACAAAACGTTAACCATTTTGAACCTCATTATGACAGATAAAGATGATGAATTAATCATTGGACTGGAAGTTGGTGGTTGCCACTGTCCAGGGACCATGCCTGGACTACATTCAATATGGGCAAATGAAGGCCACTCCCAAATGGTCATTATATACTTTGTGCTTCAAGAGGGCTAATTTCCCAAAGCAGAGGAAAATGATGAGCAAAGTTAACTGGGTAGAAAAATTTAGACAGAAAAATATAAATGAAATTTGAGAGTTCTGAGAGTGCTTTAGGAAGAGTTTATTACATGGCCAAAAAGCAGTAGAGGACAGCTTTGGCTAAAAACCCATCCCGGTTCAGTGACAATGTAAAGACTGCAAATAGAAATTAAAAAAACAATATATAACAAAAGGAAAAAAGGGGAAATAGCGGTCAATATAAATTAGAAGTTATGAAGTGTAGAAGATTGATACAGGAAGCTAAAGTCATCGGGAAAAATTCATCGCTAACAGGGCTAAGAACAATAAGGAGTTTTTAGAATTTCTTCTGTTGCTGATATACTTTTAACAATTATATAAACCCTGCAGACTGCTGTTCTGTCCCTACTACCCAGGAAGGCTTGACCCCCCACACTGAAAGTCTGTTTCTGGCCCCTTTTCTCAGAGTTTTGACTTTATTTCTTCTAATTAACACAATTCAGCACATCAATAATCCTTTAGCTCGGAAAACCAGTTCTCTTGTAGGAGCCTTTCTACTCCCTACAGCTCTCTACCAGTTTGATTACAGAGCAACCCACTGCTCCAGGGCCTGTCATATAAGCTAGCCAAGTCCCTGCAACTCTCCACCCCCAGCTAAGCCACTTGCAGGTTTTCATAACCAGTTGATCCCTAGATGATCAGTCTCAGATGGGAGGTAACTGATCCATCACAGGTGAGGCTTGGCCCAACTTCCCTTTAAGGACCAGCTACCCTGTGACAGGCCCATAATTACATGGAGATGGTAAAATTGATGATAATTGTTGCAAAAAAGGCAGATGTGTTCAATAAATATTTCTGTTCTGTATTTGAAAAGAAACAGGATGATGTGCTTGTATCACACAAAGATGATGAAGTACCTTCCAGGCTATTAGTAACCAAGGAGAATGTTAAACACTATCTATTAGTGATAAACATTTTTAAATCAGCAGGCCCAAGTATCTTGCACCTAAGAGTCCTAAAAGAGTTGGCTGAGGAGATCTCTGGCCTGCTGATGTTAATGTTTAATAAATCTTAGAATACTGAGAAAATTCCAGAAGTCTGGATGTGCCAATATTCAAAAAGGGCAAGTGGGATGAATCCAGTGGGCATGTACTCAGCACAGCTCAGCGGCGCCTCCGTTTCCTGTGCTATCGCTGCTAAACTTCAATTTATACTCATGCTAACTCGATTAAAGTTAGCGAAAGTATGTGTCCATGAGCTGGGGAATCGCACCCCTAGCTTGTAGTGTAGATGTAACCTAAAAGTTGTGGCTGTGGGATTCATAGACTCTAGGACTGGAAGGGACCTCAAGAGGTCATCGAGTCCAGTCCCCTGCCCTCATGGCAGGACCAAATACTGTCTAGACCATCCCGGATAGACATTTATCTAAACTACTCTTACATATCTCCAGAGATGGAGATTCCACAACCTCCCTAGGCAATTTATTTCAATGTTTAACCACCCTGACAGTTAGGAACTTTTTCCTAATGTCCAACCTAAACCTCCCTTGTTGCAGTTTAAGCCCATTGCTTCTTGTTTTATCCTTAGAGGCTAAGTTGAACAAGTTTTCTCCCACCTCCTTATGACACCCTTTTAGATAGCTGAAAACTGCTATTATGTCCCCTCTCAGTCTTCTCTTTTCCAAACTAAACAAACCCAGTTCTTTCATCCTTCCTTCATAGGTCATGTTCTCTAGACCTTTAATCATTCTTGTTGCTCTTCTCTGGACCCTCTCCAATTTCTCCACATCTTTCTTGAAATGCGGTGCCCAGAACTGGACACAATACTCCATCTGAGGCCTAACCAGCGCAGAGTAGAGCGGAAGAATGACTTCTCGTGTCTTGCTCACAACACACCTGTTAATGCATCCCAGAATCACGTTTGCTTTTTTTGCAACAGCATCACACTGTTGACTCATATTTAGCTTGTGGTCCACTATAACCCCTAGATCCCTTTCTGCCGTACTCCTTCCTAGACAGTCTCTTCCCATTCTGTATGTGTGAAACTGATTGTTCCTTCCTAAGTGGAGCACTTTGCATTTGTCTTTATTAAGACAAATGGGGATGGGGTTGAAGATCTTGGTATGGGTGGGAGGCAGGATCACTGTCTCTAGGGACACAGCACCACCCCAGTGGTTCTAACATCTAACAAGCTTCTAGAAGAAAACTAGAAGAAATATTATGACAAGAGTATCCAGCAACTTGCAAGTGAGAGAATGTTAGATATCTGAACAAAACCAAGGAGGACACTGGGTGCCCAGGTATGAACTGCAATCTGACCCCTTTACTCCACTCCTGAGGCGTATGGGCCTGGAAAGAGGCTGAGGGCCCCCAGCTAGGAATTCCACTGATGCACAGGGGTTATCCAGACAGCATAGGCGCAGGCCAGGATTGGGAAGGGCCATTTCAGGGAGGCCAGAGCATTCTGCACTGTAGTTATTCTGGCAGCAGTGCAGCGCCTATGGCTGTGGGGTGTGGGTGGGGGAGCTGTTGTAAATAAGCAGGGGCTGCTCTGATACTTGGCCTCAAATTCAGAAAGCAGAACTCCACCAGGAGCAGCAAAAGCCAGCTCCGGCTGGTGGCCGGACAGGCCAGTGCAGAAGGAGCCACTCTGAGAACAAGAAGTGGCCATGTGATCAGAAAGCCATCAGGGTTTGGATATGGGAGGTCTATGTCCCAGAAGAGAGGCTAATCTTTACTTCTGGCAATGGGTTCAGGCTAACTCCCTTTCCACCCTTCCTGGAGGTCTCACTTGGAGGGCTGTGTTTAATTAACTGGCTGTATTGGTCTGATGTTGTTCTTTTAGGTGCTACAATATTTCCTTTACATTTTCAAAAAGAGGAAAGCTGTATGAGCAGCTACTAGAAAGTGTCTATGGGCTTTGGCATGTAACACCTGGGCTGTATCTCTGTGATGACTGAGGCAGGTTTGAGTATTATTTGCTTATTAACTAACAACAAGAAATATGTGATACAGTAAACACCGTGCTCGCATTATTCTTTATTTGTATTGTTGTCACACCTACAGGCCCCAAACCCACTGTGCTAGGTACTGTGTAAAAATATAACAAAGAGCCAGTTCCCATCCCGAAGAGCCTGCAATCCAAGCACTAATGATGCTGTATCCTACCTTGACTAAATCCTCAAGCACCAGCTCTGAGCTGCAGGCTGTATGCCCTTTTTGCTGCCACTGGATTCTGGGGTTGGGTGGGTGCCAGCCCAGCCCACAGCATAAAAAAGGGGTGCTCCCAGGGCTTCTATAATTTAGGCTGGGCTGCGATGGCTCCTAGGGGCCATTCCAGCAACTGAGATTAGCCAGTTTGCAGCATTGCTCCAGCCACACCTCTGATGCGCCCCTGTGCTGACATAGGGATGGCTCAGCCCTATGCTACTGGAGGAGGGCCCTACACTAGCAGTATTCACTGGGGGTTAGCTTAGCTGACTTTCATGTGCAACGTAAAAGAACAGACCCTATGGTGCCTCAGGGTCTGCAGCTGGCTCCGGTCCCTGTGAGAGTCAGCAGGGAGCATGGCACTGCAGTGCCCAGGGCTGGAGGTAACTTGACACACCCCGCTGCTCTCAACCCCACATACACAAGGGGCACCAGCCCTTCCTAACACCAACCCAGCACAGGGGAAATAAAGAGCAGTCTCTTACTCTGTGCGTCCTCCACTCACATTATAGCATGGTTCTGGCCCCTGGAGCACTACCCCCCTCCCTCCCAGGCATCAACCCACACACTCCTCTCCCCCAGGGGTACCTGGCCCACGACTCCCTCTCCCCTGGGCACCAGCCCCACAGCCCCTCCTCCTTCTCCCCTCCCCAGGCAATGGCCCCACACACCCTCTCCCCCTGCCCACCAGCCCTACACACCTCCTCCCTCCGGGCACAACCCCACAAACTCCTTCCCTGGCCCCGCCCCTCTCGGGCGCCCCGCGCGGCGCGGCCAGCAGGTGGCGCTGTGGGCGGATGGCCGCGCACCATCCCCTTTTTTGGCCGGGCCGGGCCGCCGTGTCGCCCGCCCGCGTTGCGCCGCTCCGGGCCGCGGAAGGCCCCGCCGCTTCCCCTCGCCTCAGCCCGGCCCCGCCGCGGAGGCCGCCCGGATATGCCCGCCTGAGCGGGCCCGGCAGGAGGTGCGGCCGGGAGCGGGTGCGCGCTCAGCTAGGCCCCGGACCGAGCCCCACAGCCGCGCGGGGCCTCTGGGGCCGGGCCTGGGTCGGCCTCGTGGTTTCCCGGGAGCTACTAGTCGCCTCGACGGGGGAGGGGCACCTGGGGGGAAGGGGATTTGGGGGCAGAGGATGGGGGAGGGGCACCTGGGGGCCGGGGTGAGGAGGGGATTTGGGGGCAGGGGACTGAGAGAGGATGGGGGAGAGGCACCTGGGGGCCGGGGTCAGGAGTAGATTTGGGGGGAGGGGATTTGGGAGGCCTGGGTATAGGGAGGGGGCACCTACGGGAGGGGGGGACAGCAGGTTTCGTGCCTGTTCTCCTAACATGTGGGGGCATCACACACCCATGACCTGGGCATGTAACTGTGCCCAGCGAGCGCAACGCTGCTCTACCTTGCCTTAGCCTCCTACCCCTAGCTGGAGAGACACTGCTGTGCTTGGCATCCCAGTAGGGAATCTGAAGCAGGGCAGGGGTGGCGCAGAAACATTACAGGGTTTTTGACACGATTGGCCCTGGCAGTGGCAGTGGCGGGGAGGGGGGCTATGCCAGCACTTTCTGCAGTATCTGAGTTTTCATTTACCAGCAAGGTCTCTAGCCCTTGCGGTTGCCCAGAAAACTTTTCAAATGGGGCCTGTGTGTAATTGGCACTTTGATGTCATCTTGAGTCTGCAGACAGGGCTCCTGGCCTGCTCCTGGGAGGTTTGCAGAGCTGCCCAGACTGAAGCTAACATGGCTGGTCAGTTTCACGGTGGCTATCTAGAACTTTGTAGCAGTGAAACTCAAGAACCAGGTATATTTCACTCCAAAGCAGTTTGAAAAAGTGCTGAGCTGCAGAAGGAGATCTGGAGCCACTGGTCCTGGTCTTCTCCCCCACACGCAGAGGCTTCAGGCTGCTAGGTGTCTGATAAATTTTTCAAGTGGAACCACTGCTGCAGATATACATAGGGTGACATTTTTGTGCTGTCCTAGGTTAGTTTTAGAATGAAGGTTTTTTTCTCATCCCATTTCCACAAATTGGCAGTATTCGAAGCACATATATATCTATGTGCTGCCTCTGTGCTCTGATCCTGACTTTGTGACAGCAGTTCATTCTACATCCTTCAGGGATTGCTCATTGTTTTCCCAAGAGTCCTAAGCATATTCAGGAGCCAGTGCCATTAATGCTTTCAGTATGAGAAACACTTTTGTGTTTCTTGGCTTTGCTTGTTTACTTAAATAAAAGTAGAGTGAGGTGTGGGCCAGAGAAAACTAAAATCAAAGGCTTTTGGTGAAAGGGTGACAGACCCCTGTCGTCTAAGTCCAGGCTGTTCTGCTCAAGAGTCCCTACATGCAAATACAAGAGAACTAGCACATAAAAAGCAGAAGCCTCTCATTTCGTTGAGGCAGAAGAACTGAGACAGATGCAATTGTTGATATTGAGGTTTACTCATCACTTTTTTGTCTCTCTTCTTGCAGGAGCACAATGAGTGACATTCGCCATTCCCTGCTCCGCCGGGATGCCCTGAGTGCTGCCAAAGAAGTGCTGTATCACTTAGACATCTACTTCAGCAGTCAGCTCCAAAATGCACCTCTTCCCATTGTGGACAAAGGCCCAATTGAGTTGCTGGAAGAGTTCATATTTCAGGTTCCCAAAGAGCGCAACTCCCAGCCTAAAGTAGGTAACAGATCCTGTGAGCAAAAATACAACTGCATTTGAATTGTCCGGTAATGTCTTGATGTTGTCTTGTACTTACAGTCTAGGCCCTGTTCCTGCAATCAAATCTACACAGCTGGAATCTTGTATCTCTGTAGAGCCCCACTGATTAAATTGGGGCTACGTGTAGGTGCAAGGGTCCACCATGTAGATCTGGGTGCAGGATCAGGGCCTAGAAAGATAATAGGCACTGGAAGAACCAGGGAAAGGAGTCACTTTTAGACTTTTTTTAATTTTTGGTTTAGTTTCTTTTGGGAGTTCTCTTGGGTCCCTCTCTAGACTTTATCCTTTGCCTTGACAACAAGCTCCATGCAATTACCCTGCAAATAATATGATTAATAAACTTTCTAGCTTGATAAGTAAATGTAATGTTTGTCTCGGAACCAAGCATGTGCATACTGTACCAGAGAGGATGCAAGAACTGGAAGGTGATAAGGCAGGCTACACGTGATACTGGGCCAGAATTTCTGCTACTGCTCAGAAGCCCTCAGACTCCACTGCTGCTGTTTGATCTTTCAGCCAAGGAATTTATATGGTCCCTGAAATTGCTGGCCAGTGTGCGTACCCTGTTCTACAGGCAGTTCATGGAGAAGTATGGCCAGGCTTGCTCACGAGCAGGAGATTGAAGTGTGATGGGGAAGGGAGAAAGAGGCATATTCTTATAATGCTTCCTTTTGTTTCTGGACATGCTACATTGGGATTTACTCTGTTATTTTCTGGCTTTGTTTTTTAGAGGCTGAATTCTCTTCAGGAGCTTCAACTCCTTGAGATCATGTGCAGTTATTTCCAAGAGCAAACCAAGGATTCAGTCCGGCAGATCATTTTCTCAGCCCTTTTCAGCCCTCAAGGAAACAAAGCAGATGACGGCAGGATGGTCTTGCTAGGAAAATTGATTTCCATGGCGGTAGCTGTGTGCAGAGTTCCCGTTCTGGAATGTGCTGCATCGTGGCTGCAGGTAAAGCTGGTGCATGGATAGGACAGTCCCTAAGAGCTGACTAGGTGAACATGGTGTGCAAGTGGGTGAACTGAAGAAAAGGGGCTGTCTAGTGGCCAAAACAATGTAGGTTTAGTACTGAGAGGTGGGCTCTAGAATTCAGTTCACAGAACTCATACCTGCAGTGCAACCGTCGTGGACCCTCCAATTGCAGACTCCCATGCAGCTTAGGAAAGTCGACAGGGCAGTGCAGCGAGGGACATTCTCCCTACTAAAAAGCAGCAGAGAGTCCTGTGGCACCTTTAAGACTAACAGATGTTTTGGAGCATAAGCTTTCGTGGGTGAATACCCACTTCGTCAGACGCATGTAATGGAAATTTCCCGAGGCAGGTATAAATATGCAGGCAGGAATCAGTCTGGAGATAACGAGGTTAGTTCAATCAGGGAGGGTGAGGTCCTCTGCTAGCAGTTGAGGTGTGAACACCAAGGGAGGAAAAACTGTTTTTGTAGTTGGCTAACCATTCACAGTCTTTGTTTAATCCTGATCTGATGGTGTCAAATTTGCAAATGAACTGAAGCTCAGCAGTTTCTCTTTGGAGTCTGGTCCTGAAGTTTTTTTGCTGTAAGATGGCTACCTTTACATCTGCTATTGTGTGGCCAGGGAGGTTGAAGTGTTCTCCTACAGGTTTTTGTATATTGCCATTCCTGATATCTGTCCATTTATACCTGCCTCTGGAAATTTCCATTACATGCGTCTGACGAAGTGGGTATTCACCCACGAAAGCTTATGCTCCAATACATCTGTTAGTCTTAAAGGTGCCACAGGACTCTCTGTTTCTTTTTACAGATCCAGACTAACACAGCCACCCCTCTGATACTATTCTCCCTACTGAGGTCTATGCCAGGCAAAACTTCTTGGCTCTCCAAGCCTCTCGAGCTCTCATGCCCCTGCTCCTGTGGATTTCTTAATGTCTGCCTTAGGGGAGCCCCACCCTGATGTGCCTCCTAAGGTCCACAGGAGTGAGCTTTCATTCCCGCACCCTTCAGGAGATGTGCCAGAAGCAGGCTATTCTGCAGACAGGGGGATGGGAGGGGTGGAGAAGGGCAGCAGAGGGGAATCCCCCCACTTCCCTAAGATCTGCAGTGTAACTGTTTCTCCATATAGGTCTCCTAAAGGCTGCAGGAACAGGAAGGGGTGTAATGTGGGTGGCAGGAGACTTTGAAGGGGTGGCTTATTGTGGTGCACTGCCTCCTTCAGATCACTTAAGTATATAAAGGTTTCCATGTTAAAAACTTGGTGCTTAAAAGACATTGCAGGGATGGTGCTGTCCTGGTGAACTGCCCTCATATTTCTCACACGCCTCCCACTCACTCATTTCCTGAGAACCTTAGGCAGGGGAGTCCTGATCCTGATCCCCTTCAGAAATCCCTGGGAGCGTGGCTTTCTTCCTCTGGGCCAGGGTGGTCTTCAGAATCAGGATGAGTGTCAAGTGAGGGACTGTGGTTAAGAGGACAGCAGTGGACAGAGGACATTGCTGTACTCAGTTCATAAAAGTAGAACACTTTCATGCGAAGAGCAAAGGTTAGTGTGGTGATTAAACATCATGCTCTGTATCAGGTATGTGTAACTTTGGCCAGCTGTAGAAATTCTTGCAAAGGTTTTTACCATTCAGTTACTGACTTGTACCCTAGACCTTAAATATTTTTTGTCTGGGAATGGTCAGTTTACAGATCGGTCTTTCATACAGTAACGAACGAGAAAACATTTTTAGAAAATAGGGCAGCATAATAGTTGAAATAAAAAAAACCTGGCAGGGCGACATGGGCAGGTGTAGTGTCTGAAACACCTTTTAAATCGTGTTTGACTAGAATAGATAGTAGATTTCAAGTTGATAGTGTTTCTTTAATATTGTTTTTTTGGCACAGAATTATTATTATAGTCTACTGCAGTAAAGCTAAAAAGTGGCTTATAGATGGGTTTGTAATAGTTGATGGTCATGGTAAAAAATGATTGTCTTGTTCCAAAATGGTGTTTGTATCCATTTTAATGACGTTACCCTCCCTTTCATGTAACAGAGCCTTAGTGAAAAATTCTGCATCTCCCCATGGGCTGGGCTCTGCAAAATTTCTTATGTCCTGGTTTGACGTACTTGTCACCACTTGGTACTGCAAATCTCTTTCAGCGAACACCTGCAATCTACTCTGTGAGGTTAGCCCGTGCCTTAGTGGATGACTACTGCTGTTTGGTGCCAGGTTCCATTCAGACATTGAAACAAATATTCAGCGCTAGTCCTCGCTTCTGCTGCCAGTTCATAACGTCGGTTACCGCACTCTACGACCTTTCTTCAGGTAAACTGCAAATAGGCAGCATTCTCTTCTCGAAACAAATGCTGCAGTGCCTGCTGGCTGTTATGGGCATGTTTGTGTTCTCAGCTACCTATTGGCATTTTAATGGCACTCAGCACCATAGTTTTGCTAGACACGGTGCTGGGTGCAGCACTTATCCTTTGGTGTGTGTGGGAAGCTGAGACTTACAACACAGTGGTGAGTGACCTCAGTCCAGTTTGTAATAGACAACAGTCCATGTAACGATTGGCTCTGTTGTTGACGATTTTGACGAAGGGCAAGGAATGAAGGGGTCTTCTCGAACTAGGTTCAGATGTGGCTAGAAAGCCAGTGAAGGGACTAGAGCTGGTGGTAATTTGACCCAGACTTCCTGTAGTGAGGGTATCTGACTAGCATTCTGAAGGTTAGAGAGCTGGGATTTAGGAAGACAATAAAAGAAGAATTGCAGTAGTTGTGATAGGAAGAGAGTGATGCATGAATAAAGATTTTAGCAGAGGCTGGGCCCAGACTTACAGATGAAGGAGAGGGGGAGGAGAATGAAATGGCTGTCCCTATGCCAGAGAAGGGGACTTGCTGAGCAGTGTCTCATATTTTTTTCCAGATGATCTCATCCCCCCTTCGGACTTGCTCGAGATAGTTGTCTCTTGGATCTTTGAGGACCCCCGTTTGATACTCATCACCTTTTTAAACACTCCTATTGCAGCCAACCTGCCAATAGGATTTTTAGAGCTCACCCCCCTCACTGGACTGATCCGCTGGTGTGTGAAGGCCCCCTTGGCTTACAAAAGAAAAAAGAAGGCCTCTCTCTCAAATGGCCACCTCACCAATAAAATTGCCAAGGACTCAGCCACTGGAGCTGACAAAGACTGCCACCTGCTGTATTCCAAACTGCATCTAAGCGTCCTACAGGTTCTCATGATGCTTCAGGGGCACTTAACAGAGAAGAACCTATATGGCCGACTGGGTCTAGTGCCCTTTGACCACGTGGTTCCACTTGTTGAGGAAATTAACAGACTGTCTGACGAACTCAATCCACTCAATGCTTCCAAAGAGATTGAACTGGCTCTAGACAGATTGGCTCAGGCTCTGCAGGTGGCCATGGCATCAGGAGCATTGCTGTGCACTAGAGGTATGTTGCTGAAAGCAGCTTGTGAAGAGCCTGGCCTGAGATCACTTTTCTCCAGTATGTGGGTAGGCTGTCCCTGGGTGAGGGAGGGATAATACATGGGTAAATGCATTAACAGAAGAAATATTCCACAAGTCTTAGGAAATAAGAGATTGTTAGAGCTACAAGCTGGGTGTAGCAAACAGCTCAGGACAGAGAGTAAGAAAGGAAAGACCATTGATGAAAATAAGGGCTATGGAATATCAAGAAAGCTTATTGCTTTGGGGATTTGGGAGGGAATATTCTGTTCATACTTGCACCATTGCTGCCAGGCTGTGTTGATGGTTTGTAGTTTGTTTTTTGATATGGGAGTATGTTTGTCCTCTTCTCGGCCCATAAACAGAGCCTGAATGGTACAGCTGACATCAAAACACTCCAGAGATGATGGGTCTGTGGCCTGATTTAGGTCCTACACAGTTAGATAATTATGGTTCCAGATACATGTCTTTAAACCCTGTTTCCTAAACTGGTTTAAAACTGTCAAATTAAAGAATTACAGTGTAGCCATCCATTGTACATCCTTGCAGCATAGGTTAGAGAAGGATTCAGGCTATGATTCTCCTTTGAAAAATGATACAGTGAAAATCAGAGCGACAAGGCGAGTGAGGTAATCTCTTTTATTGGTGAGAGAGACAAGCTTTCAAGCTATACAGGGCTTTTCGTTGGGTCTGTGAAAAGGAGTCTGAGTGTCACAGCTAAATACAAGGTGGAACAGATTGTTTAGTGTAAGTAGTTAACATATTTCAAGGTGTGCAGTGGTGTTGTAGCCGTATTGATCTCAGGATATTAGAGGGCTTACACAGAGCTCTTCTTCAGATCAGAAGAAGAGCTCTGTGTAAGTTCGAAAGATTGTCTCTCATATCAACAGAAGTTGGTCCAATAAAAGATATTACCTCACCCACCTAGTCTCTCATGTATTTCGAGGAATCGTTCAAGGTGAAGTGGCCCATTAGCACCCCTACAGTCATGAGGGGGAGTGGCTGGAATGGGAGGGTTAAGTGGGTTACAGATTGAATTTATGGCTCATTACAACAGTATGTCATTTTATGGGGAGGGGATGGCTGTGTGTGTGTAAATTTTGCCCCAATAACTCCAGGGTAAACTTGCCCTTTTACATACATTAAAAATGTGTGCTAGCCCTTCCAACACCTTGAAATGTGAAAGTCGATCCAGGTTCTTGTGAGCACGTGAATCACATATAATAAAGATGCTGCCCTGAGTTATATTGTACAGCCCATGCCTTTGACGTATTAACTGAGGCAGAGTTCTGCACTGCAATTAGAAGTTAGTAAACAATTCTGATTCATGAGCCAGAGTAGAATCCAGTTTGCTGTTTGGCCGGTATATTGGTTCTGCAGTTTTAAAAGAAGTCAAATCTTACTTTGCCATATCTGACTCTGGGTACAGGGAGACAGTTTTTCATGACATTTCAGAGTAGGAAAAAACACAGTTTGTGGCTCTGTGTAGGTGGGCCCATATGACTGAAAAGAATTACCAGTTTGCTCCCAACACAATCTCTGGCAGGACCACTGTTCTCTAAAGGAGCTCAGGGTAAGGACACATTTTCAGTTTAAAAGGAAATGGCATCCTGTTTGTTCAACTCAGTGGTTTCTCTGCACTGGATGAGGGCGCATGAACTAGAGCATAGTGTATAAACATGAAATGGAGAATAATCCAGGTGGTGGTTTTAGCTGAAACATTTTTGAAGCCTACATTTCTAGTCTTTCATCATGGGAGAAGCAAGATTTGTTTGGGTGGTTTTTTTTTATGTCCCCTGGCCTATAATTTTTAGTACTTTTTGCACAAGATGGTAAACTTATTTCATTAGCTAAGCATTTGGATCATTATAAATCTGAGACCTGTTAAGGAATCTTGGTGAATTTATTAAAGGGACACCAACTTGAAAATCCAGTCAACTTCTAAAAGCTGTATTAAAAGTGGGGCAGGTGTAATAACTGGAACTAAAGTCCCCCTACCAATTTGTGTGGCCCAAAAATGTCTGAAAGACCCACACAAACAAAAAGTAAAAATGGCTGGTCAAGTGATTCAACCCAAATGTAGGGTCAGCCAATCATACCATTTTCTCAGAGCAAACTTTATAACAGAACATCCGTTAACATAACACCAGAAATCTAACAGAAACCTTCCCCAGCTCAGGGCATCTCACCCAGACCCAAAGGTTCAGGGAACAGCCTTTGTTCCCTGAGGCGCCTGTGTGAACTTGGATCAACTCCTCTCAGCACCTGTTACACTGACTGTACACAGTATTATCAAGTGCACAAAGCCAACTATAAATCAGGTTTTTCTCTAAGATTTTAGTTCTAGTAATCTTAGGTCTGTTTTGTAATAGTAGCAAGCCAAAACATGAGGGTTTTTAAAAAAAAAAAAAAAAGCTGTCCCTTTAAACTTCCTTATTTCCTAAGTACTTACTTGGCCTATCTTATGGGGGGATTGCTATACTAGAAGAGGAAGGGAATTCAGTATAAATAGCTGCTAATCACATTTTTGGCATTCCGTTTTCTATAGAATTGGGAGGAATTTGTTTAAACCAGCATTAAAAGGACCTCACGACTGTACGTTCTTTAGAGTAGGATTCTTGTTAAATTGGTTGGAAACTGTTTTCCCCAGTAGAGCCAGTGTCCCAGATTCCGTTACTGGAGTTTTTTAATACAAATCTTAAAATACCTCTGAGGAGCGTTTCACCTCCTAGCCTACTCGGCAGGGTGCAGCTTTCCTTGGTGGGTAAATGAAGCCGTGCACAGAGGAATGGGGCATATAAAGGTACAAACAGTGCCAGGACTGGTGTCCTACTCCCCAGGTAACAATTGGGGAAGAGGAAGGAAGGAGCAGCACACTTGTTTGTCAATAACAAACTTTGATACGACAACATAAAGTTCAGTTATAACAGGGGTGGGCAAACTTTTTGGCCCAAGGGCCACATCTGGGTATGGAAATTGTATGGTGGGCCATGAATGCTCATGAAATTGGGGGTTGGGGTGCGGGATGGCTCCGGCTCAGGGTGCGGGCTCTGGATGGGGCTGGGGATGAGGGGTTGGGAGTGCAGGAGGGTGCTCTGGGCTGGGACTGAGGAGTTCAGAGGGTGGGAGGGGGATCAGGACTGGGGCATGGGAGAGGGTCGGGGGGCAGGCTCTGGACAGTGCTTACCTCAAGAAGCTCCCAGAAATAGTGGCATGTCCCCCCTCCGGCTCCTATGCAGAGGTGCAGCCGGGCGGCTCTGTGCACTGCCTTGTCCACAGGCGCTGCCCCTGCAGCTCCCATTGGCTGCAGTTCCCAGCCAACGGGAGCTGTGGGGGCAGCACTTGGGGCAGGGGCAGTGTGTGGAGCCCCCTGGCTGCCCCTATGTGTAGGAGCCAGAGGGAGGACATGCCGCTGCTTCTGGGAGCTGTGCGGAATGGGGCAAGATCCTGACCCTGCTCCCTAGCTGGAGCGCCGGAGCGGGACAAGCCCAGGACCTCCCTTCCTGGCGGGAGCTCGAGGCCCGGATTAAAACATCTGGAGGGCTGGATGTAGCCCCTGGGCCACAGTTTGCCCACCCCGAGTTATAATTAGAAAACCAGTTAGAAAGGGCTGCAAGCGGAGTTCTGGTACAACAGTGGGAAAAAGCAGAGGCTGGTGCCTTACGAAATGTAAGCGCCACTTTGCATTGGGCAATGATATTTCTGGTATTGCCTACATCTTGGCTGCCTGTTTCCCATGACTGTTATTGGAATCACTTGAGAGTACAACTAGCCAATTTCTAGCCTTTGATAACGGGGATTTTGAAGATCTTCTCTTCCTTCTTGCCTGAACCATTCCCAAACATGTTTCTTCTATCTCAGCATGACCTGAAGCATTCTAATACTTGATAAGGAGATACTTTGAGTCTCCATTCCTTGTCTTGTCTTGCTCAAGATGGAGTATTGCATGATGGGACATGTAGTGTTCAGGCTTCCTATTTTTAACTCTACTTCTTGTTAAAGATGAGATGACCATAGCAGTCTTCCCTTATATGAATTGGGTGCTGCTCCCCTGGCTCTAGTTGAGTTGCCAATGTGGCTGCCCCAGTTGGGCAAAGTTCTATCTGTTTAATCCACTGAGAATTTTGTGCTAGGGTTTGTCTGCCTTGCAACAGATGTGAATTTCTGTCCATTTAACTTAAATATTAGGCAAGTGAGAGAATGCTCAACTGCAGATGGATGATATGCGAAATGGTTTGTGATGTAAAAGTTATAGGGAAATGTTCGCTATACATATCTTATGCATGAAAGGATGAAATTTTGGGTCTCTATTAGTCATTTTATGAAATCTGACTAAAACTTCCCAGAATGAAGAGTAGAGGGGAAAAATCTTTTATTTTGCTTTATCCACACTGTTTGTTTTTCTATCCTCTTGAATTTCAGATGACTTGAGAACAGTGTGCGCTCGGCTACCACACAACAAGTAAGGGACCTTTCTAAACTTGTATTTATTTTAATGCATATTTCAAGGCATTTCCTACATGTTTGTTGAAGCAGACCTCTACCCTGAAGAGCTTATAATGTGAGTGTGCTTTTTTGGAAGGTGTGCTTTAGTCAAACACAAGTTTTGGGGATCAAAACAGGGGCAACTGGGTGAAATTTCACAGATTTATAGATTCCAAGGCCAGAAGGAACTTTGTGATCATGTTTAACACAGGCCAGAGAGCTACCCCCAAAATAATTCTTAGAGCATATATTGTAGAAAAACATCCAATCTCGATCTAAAAATGGTCAGGGATTGAGAATCTGCCATGACCCTTGGTAAATTGTTCCAATGTTGAATTATCCGCACTGTGAAAAATTTAACATCTTGTTTCCAGACTAAACTCGTCTAGCTTCAGCTTCCAGCCATTGGATTGTGTTATACCTTTCTCTGCTACATTGAAGAGCCCTTTGTTAAATATGTTTCCCATGTAGGTACTTATAGATTGTGACAAGTCATCCCTTGACCTTCTCTTTGTTAAGCTAAATAGACACTCTCCAGGAGCTCAAACACTATAAGTAAGGCATGTTTTTCCTAATCCTTTAATCATTCTCATGGCTCTCCTCTGAACCCTCTCCAATTTAACATCCTTTTTGCATTTGCGAGCACCAGAACTGGACACCGTATTCCAGCAGCAGTCACACCAGTGGTAAATTAACCTTTCTACTACTGGAGAGTCCCCTCTTTATGCATCCCAGGATGGCATTAGCTCTTTTGGCCACAGTGTCACAATGGTAGCTCATATTCAGCTGATTATCTATCACGGCCCCAAATATCTGTGAATCACTACTTGGCAGGATAGAGTCCCCCATCCTGTAAGTATGGCCTACATTCTTTTGTTCGGAAATGTATGTATTTACATTTAGATATATTAAAACGCATATAGCTTGCTTGTGCCCAGTTTACCAAGCAATGTAGATCGTGCTGAATCACTGACCTATCCTCTTCGTTACTTACCACTCCCCAAATTTTTGGGTCATCTGCAAATGGTTCCAGGTCATTGACAGAAATGTTAAGTAGCGTAGGGCAAAGAGCCCATTCCTGCGGGGGCCCACTGGAAACACACCTGCTTGATGATGATTCCCCGTTTACAACTACATTTTGAGACCTATCGGTGAGCCAGTTTTTCATCCATTTAATATGTGCCATATTAATTTTATAGTCGATTTTTTTTTAATCAGAATGTTGTGTGGTATCAAGTCAAATGCCTTAGAGAAGTCTTAAGTATATTAGATCAACACTGTTACCGTTCTCAACCAAATTTATAATCTCTCTCTCTCTCTCAAAAAAAAAAAAAAAAATTAGTTTGACAGGATCTATTTTCCATGAACACGTGTTGATTTGTTGTATTAATTACATTACTGTCCTTTCATTCTTTGTTAATCGATTACTGTATCAGCTGCTCCATTATCTTGCCCAGGATACAAGTCCAGCTGTCAGACTTATAATTACCTGGGTCATCCCATTTACCCTTTTTAAAAATTGGCACAACATTAGCTTTCTTCCAGTCCTCTGGAACTTCCTGGACTTATTTAAATCAACATTAATGGTCCAGCGAGCTTGTCAGGATGCTCTTTTAAAACTCTTGGATGCAAGTTAACTGGACCTGTTTGTTTAAAAATCTCTAACTTTACTAGCTTCTGTTTAATATCCTCCAGAGACTACTGGAATGGAGTGTTACCACCATATGATGAGATTATATCATCTATTTTTCCCCAAATACAGAACAGAAATATTTATTGATGGCTTCCACCTTTTCTGCATTATTACTGATAATTCTACCATTTCCATCTAGTAATGGACCAATACCATTTTCAGGATTCTTTTTGTTCCTAATACATTTTTTAAAAACTCTTTATTGTCCTTAACTCTGCAGGCCACAGATTTCTCCTTGTTTCCCATTGCTTCCCTTGTCATTTTTCTACAATTCCTAACTTCTGATTTGTATTCATTACTATCAAGCTCCCCTTTTTTCCCTTTATTTTATATATTATATATATATTATAACTGCCTTCACGTCCCCTCTAAACCAGCATAGCCTTCTTCCTCAGTTGTGGAATTATGGCTTTTTGGGAATCTATTATGTTGTTCTTAAATGATTCCCAACTATAATTCAAGATACTTTGACTTCTGGTATACAGGAGGTCATATTAAATGATCGAATTGTTCCTTCTGGCCTTAAAATATGTACAAATCCTCAAGCCAGGCAGACCCCGTTAAAGTCAGTGAGGCTCCTCTTTGGTCCACCCACACATATCAGTTTGCAGGATGAGATCCTGGATTAAGACAATTAGACTAACAAAACAGTGAAAGTGAAATGCAATTTTAAAAATTACCTCTGCCCCATCCCTAATTCCCACCTATTATACTTAAACTCTATGCTTAACGGTGCTGTTTTTGTTTCTTGTTATAACCGTTACTTATTTTCTATCTTTTTAATATTAGCCAAAATATTAAAACCTGGGTGTCTAAAGGTAGGCTTCTATATCTGAAAATCAGGCCATTTCTATTTAGGTTTCTAAGTGCGGATTTAGCCTAACTTTAGGCACCTGGGGTTGAAAATGTTGGCCTTAACATTTGCTTATTTTTAAAAAATGAACCCTTGCCGATTTTTGGTATTTAACCTTAGCTTATATAAACCGTTGACAGTCTCACTCCTTTTTATCATCCCTCTGAAACCTGAGCCCTCATCCTCTCTCCTGCAGCCTGGCTGTAGAGCCTCACAGAGCATTGCCCTTTGGAGAGATGGTAACCAGAGCCCCCTCTTTCTTGACAAGCCAGCTGTTCAACCAGGATTACTGAAAATACTTAACTCTGTTGATTGTCATGGACAGTGCTCCTTTGAAAAATACCACTGTGCATGTACCTTGCACCATACACATCAGTCTGCAGGATGTAATAAGCATAATTGCCACCTTCTCTCCCTAAAGCGCTTTCCAGTGTTTGAGCTTATGAATGTTGCTACGCATTGGCAAGGGCTTTTGAGTGACTCTTCTTGTCATGGAGCAGGCCTTCTGCCAAACTGCTCCTTGTTTGGACAATTTATTATTGGAGTAATACTTACATCTATCTGGATCTTCTTTTCACAGCCTACTCCAGCTGGTGATTTCAGGTCCAGTGCAACAAGCAACCCATGCTGCTTTGCCACCAGGATTTTATCCTCATATCCACACCCCTCCGCTGGGCTATCCTGCACATGCAGCACACCCTGCATTGCCCGCGCATCCGGCTCATCCAGCACTCCCAGCCCATCCTGTGCAGACATTTATACCAGGCATGACTTTCCCATACAGGCCTATTCGCTAAAGAACCTAACTTAAACTGTATAATGTGCACCCATTTCCCCCTGACTGGGGAAGCCTTACAGAGGAAACCAAACATTTATGGAACCATATTTTCCTCTTTAATATTGTGTTGTGTGGTGTCTAAAAGATGGACTTTCTTCAGGAGTAGGGGAGAGGCAGATGCTAGGCTGCTCTAGCCCTAAACATGGACAATTTCTTATTAATCCATATTTATGGATGAAAGAAAAAAACAAGCCCTCTGGAATGTACGGGGTTTTTTAATATCAAATAACTCATCTAATGAGCAGTACCACTGTATTTCTTGGTCTGGTGTTTCTCACGGGTACACATCTGTCTGACTCTAGTGAGACCAGCTACTTTCTTGCTCCTTCTCATTTGTGAAGGACAGAAGGAAAACCATATCCAGACTTGCAAGTTAGTCCCCTGCCCCTGTTCTTTCTCTTTGTAAACGTTTGTACCCATGCCAATAGAGTGTGTGTACACTGTATATTTTTGGTACTGCGAATGCTTGCTTCTGAAGCACAAGGTAGGGGAGGGTAGCACTTCCTCTGAGAGGAAACCACTAAAAAAAAGAGTGAGAAGTGATCGCTTGCCTCACTTTTATCTCTCAAATGGTGTTCAGCAAATCCAATTTTTATTAGGCCTGTGCTAGGAAGGAACTTCCTTTGCAATTGCAACATCCTTGGTTTTTTGGTAGGCCTCTGGAATATCCTTTTCACATGTTCAAATCAACAAATTTGTGAAATTTAGAGATCAAATCTGGAATCACTAATGCCCGTTGGCAAAAATGGATCAACGGCTTACTGCAACAAATTAGTTACTGATGTTTAGCAGTTTAACCTTTTACTGCAATTAATTTGCAGCCACACAAAAAATACATACCAATATTGTTCCAGAGAAGGTAGGTTCCCGGTACCACAGGCTTTTAATTAGAAATGGTGTACTCTGTGGAAAAGTGTTCTAGTCAAGATAATACGTTTGTCTTCTATATTACTGCAGTGAAATATATAATGTATCCCCACTCAGAATTGGGTCGTTTTCTAGCACAGTGACAATAATGCAATTCTCTAAGCCCCTTTCATTGGCTTTAGGAGAAAGCAAGGGCATCCTTTTTCTAGGAGTCAATCACTTTATTTCTTTATACATATTTCAGATGTCATGCTAATAGACAGAGAGACGTGTGGCAATAATAGTTATCCAATTACACATTAAAATCAAAGGACAAAGAGATGGAAGCTGGGGCTTGGCACTTGTAATTCACTCAATAAATTACAACTGGAGAGTAATCCTGATGTTTGTCTACTTCTCTTTCCCTGGAAAGATAAAATTAATCACTTGGTAGAAGCTCCAACAAGATGAAAAGGTCCTGAATCTAAGAACTACTGAGCATAAAGGAGTATGAAAAGTTATTTATCAATACTCATTGTACCATATCTCCTTTGAAAGGTTACTTGAAAGGGGGAAGTGGAGGTGGTGATAATCCTGATGTGTAACACCCATGTTTATTTTGTTTTTACCTGTAGTTACTTGATTTTAAATTGTCTGCACCCTGTTTTCCAAAATTTGTGCTCAAGGATGGGCCTCCATTTTTTTTTGTTTAATTAAAACTCTTGGATTTCTTTCTTGTTTTGTGTATCTGACCTATTTCAGACACTCAGATTAAAAACCTCACTTTAAAACTTTCCTATCATCATGGCTTTGAAGGAGTATAGTTTCAAATTAGATGGTGTCAGCAGACAGTTAACCTACCAGATGAATGTTATGGTGGAGGGACTTTTGTTATGGTGGAGGGACCATTAACCTCTGCCTCTTGGTGATTTGGGTTTGAGAATGGGTGTCCTGGATATGCATAGCATGATGATGCATGCCTGGATTCCATGCTGCTGTCAAATGGTTCAGGAAGGAATTTAAATACTCTAGTTCAGCAGTTTTTAATGATGGTTCTGGGGCACCCTGGGGGGGGGGGCATGAACAGGTTTCAGGGGGCCATCAAAATAAACCAGAGAGCAGGGCCGGCGTTAGACACAGTGGGGCCCAGGGCAGAAAGCTAAAGTCCGAGTCTGGGACTGAAGCTGAAGACTGAGCAAGTTAGCTTCACGGGTGCCCACCATGGTGTGGGGCTCTGAGCAATTGCCCTGCTTGCTACCACCTATTGCCGGCCCTGGCTATTAATCTGCTAGATTTGCCGGAAAACAGTTGTGGCACAGGTTGGCCGTGGAATTCTTATAACACTGTGGGGGGGGGGCGGGGGACTCAAAAAGAAAAAGATTGAGAATCCCTGCTCTAGTTCCTATGTTAAGCCAGTTAGCATGTCATATTTACACATCTCTTATGTCAGTGAAGTTTGTAGTAATTTTGATGATGGTCTTCAACAAGTGTAGAATATCCAGTGATGCTCTCTCCATTCAAAACCAAAATGTGCATGATGGAATCTTGCTGTGTATTGGGGACCATTCTGGCCAGTGGCTGAACTTTAAAAGGCAAAGTTTACTGTAGACTAAGTAGAATGGTGAGAGCAGCTGCTGTCACATCAAACTGCATCTGGCACAGGAAGGACTTACATCATCTTCTGTTTGTCATGTAGTGATCTGCACAGTTCTTAGAAAAGCCAGCAAGATAGCTTACAGCAGCAGTGCTCAGTTTGTGCATGGTGACCCTTTTGTTATTAGCAGTCGTCCATAGTCATCTGCCCATTTGCTCACTCGTAACAGGATCCTGTCATTTGTCCCATACACCTCTGCACTGATTGCCATAGAGCCACCTTTGAAGCACTATGGCTACTGGAGCAGAGGCTTATGGGGTGCAAGTGGCTAGTAAAAGAGTCTCTGTTGAAGTTAAAATTCACTGGCTTATCTCACTGCAAAAGTTTATGTATGTCAGCTTTGTGATTGTAATAAATTCTTCCAAGGTACATTTACAAAGTTCCAATACCACAGCTCTTTCACCAGAGAAATTCTGTAGGCTGTATTTTCCCAGTGCCTGGGCATGAAGAGGAGACGTTCATCTTAAAATTCTAGATGAATGCATGATTTTGTCTCTGGACCTAGAGAGAAATTTAAATTATGCAAGAGCTACATTAAAGATGTATTTGGGCATAAGCCTTTGTGGGTAAAAACCCACTTGAAAAAACACCCCCTTGGGCCCTAGCTACACTGGCACTGTACAGCACTGCAACTTGCTGCGCTCAGGGGTGTGAAAACGCCCCCCCCGAGCGCAGCGAGTGCAGTGCTGTAAAGCACCAGTGTAACAGCGCTGCAAGCTATTCCTCTCGGAGAGGTGGAGTACTTGCAGCGCAGCGCTGGCGGCGTGACTACACAGCAGCGCTGTGAATCCCCAAGCGTAGCCAAGGCCTTGAGCACTGCAAGTTTCAGCACTGTGAAGTGCCAGTGTAGACAGTGCACCAGTGCTGGTAGCTATTCTCGCCCTAGAGGTGGGTTTTTTATAGCGCTGGGAGCTGCAACTACACAAGCCACCCACAGCAGCGCTTTAACGTTGCTAGTGAAGACATGCGCAACATGATTTTTAGGTAAGTAAATATGGAAACAGCTTGTTGACTGGTAAAAAGTCATGAGTTCATGCTGTGCAGCAGGGACTGATTCCTCATTCGAGAAGAAGTTGTGCTGAGGACAAATGATTTTTTTTTTCTAAATAGACTGAATTACAGCTAGTTGCACTAAATGGGGCGGGAAGGAGAATCTACCACTATCCTTCTAAACACACTCCGGCGGAGCCCTCGCCCAGGCGTGAGCTGCAGCCGCTTGGTGCCGGGCGCATTGCAGGGAGCGACTCCAAGGGCCGGGCACGCGGCGCTCCTGCCCAGGGCCAACTCCCGAGCTAAGCACGTGGCAGCTCGGGGGGGATGGGACCAGACGCTGCTCAGGCCGGCCCCGCCCCAGGGATAGGGGCAGAGCCTCGAGGCTAGTGCTGTAGCGGGACGGACACAGGCCTACAGCCGCCTCTGGCCGGATCCCCAGCCAACCCGAGCCGGCGGGCCTGAGACTCAGCTGGTACGCATGCGCAAACAGAGTTCCGGCTAAGACGGCGGTCCAGATGTCACGTGGGGCCGGGGAGCCTATGGGGCGGCGGCTTGCTGCGGGGTCGCCGGGAGGAGGTGTCTGGGCCTGTGGCCGCGGCTCCTGCTGGTTCCTCGGGGCGGCCCCGCAGCCTCCGCCGGCCCGGAATGTGCTGAGTGACGCCGCCGCGTTCCCGCCGCAGGCCGAGGCAGCCGCCGCCCCGCCCGAGGTGAGTGAGGCGGAGCTGGAGCCCCGGCCGCTGGGACCGCCAGGCTCGGCCCTGCCTCAGCGAGCCTGAGGTCCGCCCGGGGGGTCACTGCCAGCCCCTCTCGCTGCCCGGCCCCGAGTCCGTGCTCCCGCGGAAGCGCTGCGCCGTGCCCGGAGAGCGCGTGAGCCCGCCGCAGCCGCGCATCCCTCGCCGCTCACACCCTCCGCCCTGCGGGGCAAGGAGCGGCCCGGAGCGCCGGGGTTTCGTGGCGCCGCTTCCAAGCACTTAGTGGTTTGTCTGCACACGGAGCTCTCCCTGACCGACCTCGCGTCTTCTAGTGCCTTGCTCCTGTTCGGGGAGAGTGACGCCGTGTGGACACACGCCCTTAGTTTTGGTTCCAAATGTTTCTCTTGTGCTGTGGGAAGAGGTAAAGGAAGTGACTTCTGAATCATCTGTGGTGAAACAGTCCCATGTCTTCAGTGCCAGCACTGGGATTTCTTGATTCCCTGCAGAGTCCCCTGTCAGGCAGCTCTGTTCTTCTAGATTTGATCAAATCAGTGGTCTGATGCGGAGAATTCAAGGATCACACACTTCCTGGAATCCATTCCTCCTTTGATGTCACCATTTCATGGACATTATTGCTGTAATTTGTAAGCTTTTTCTGGCAGCATTAACTAGCCTAGTCTAACTGGGACACTTGTTGCTGTGATACAAGTATCTTGGAATCTAGAGTTAATGGAAAGACTTGGGCTGATGAATGTGGGTCAGGTCTTTAGTGGTTTGAGACAGAAATGCCTGAGTTGTAATCCCAACTCGGTCACTGAGTCACTATGTAGCCCTGTGCAAATCACCTGTGGCCCAATTTTCAGAGGTGCTGAACACGTGCAGCTCCCATTGACTGCAGTGGTCCAGTTCCTTAGAAAATCAAGCTAATTTCTGAGTGCCTTGCCTCATTTGTAAACTTGGTAGTAATACTACTTCCCTGCCCTAGAGGGGTTTGTTTACTTAATGTTTGTGATAGTGGATGTGGTTTTTTTACTTACCATGGTTCAGTTTCATAATTGATTAGCTATCTGGTATGACATGAAAGCTTATGCCCAAATAAACGTGTTAGTCTCTTAAGGTGCCCCAAGGACTCCTAGTTTTTTTTTTTTTTTTTTTCTGACACAGACTAACACAGCTACCACTGAAACCTATCTGGTATGAGTGTGAGAACTTAAATCCTTATTGTCTAATATAAACTTTAGTGTGAGAAATAGAAAAGATCTATAAATCAAGTTTAAAGGGAATTACACCTTGTCTCATGGCTAACTATTCAGGCAAAGAGGATGGAACTGATTTTAAATTAAGCATTTCCTACTGTTTCCTGCATAGTCACTCTTAAACATTGATTCCTGGTTGGAAGTGCTGTTTGCTGCTCTAGACTACCAGGCTATACTTTGGTAGCTGCTATAAGGTGCAACTTTATTTTACCTATAATATTGTGAAGGAGAGCTTGCTTTTAAAATTTAGATTAGGCAGCACCTACAAGTTTTAAGGTATATTCTCATTCTGAAGGGCTCACCCCCCCCCTCCTCCCGCCATATTGAGGTGAAGCAGTTTTATTTGTCTATTGTCTTTCAGTCTGAAGGATCTCATAGCATTTTACAATTTTTCAGACGTTGCTGAGCCTGGGATTTGTGGCTGGAGTAGATCCCTCCACTGCATTTGTTCTGTTTTTTAGTATGATTGTATTTTAATATGGCAAATACACAGGTGCTTTTTGTATACATCTATACATATATGCAAGAATTGCTTTCACCCTCTACTGAAATGCAGCCATCTGGGGTACATTGCTGCATTTTTTTAATGGTTCACAGCAATGCTACAACAGGTTAGGATTAGGGATGTAAAATATTAAACGGTTAACCAATAAGTATCAGTCTTACTGTTAATGTATTCAGTAAACCTTTAAAACAGATTGGTAAAATAATTTCATGACGTTGTAATACCTAATGCGCACATTAGAAACGCTGCAGCAATACCATTTCAAAGTGTATGTGGAACTAGGTTCTGCATTGTTAGGACCATTGCTATGGAACTGATGTAACACTTTGGTAGCGTTAAACCTTCAAACAGCATCATGTAGGTTATTGTGATTTTTGGTAACTACTTTTCCATAGTGAAGATGGAGCAATCGAAAAGGAGTAATGCCTGGAATCATTTCACAAAAATAACAGAAGATGCAGTTAAATGTAAACTGTGTAAGACAGAGCTGAAGTATGCAAACAGCACTGGAGCAATGCTGAAGCATTTGAAGCTGAAACATCCCTCTGTTTCGTGTGAAAAAGAAGGCAAAAATCAAACAACACTGACAGTGTTTGTTTCTGTCAGTTCAAGAAAATGCAACACCCAACGTGACGAAAAACTGAGTTGTTGTGCACCATGATCACTACAGATATGCTGCCTGTAAGTGTCGTTGAGGATACAGGTTTTTGTGCATTGATAAGTTTGGTAGAATCTGAATACTGTGTGCCTGTGAGACAGACTATAACCTCGCGACTAGAGAAGTGCTATGAGGACTGTGTGAAGTCTGTCCAGGAAAAATTGGAAAATGCCATTAAAGTAGCTTTCACCACAGACTGCTGGACAGCATTCACTACAGAAAGCTGCATGACTGTCATTTGCTATTATATTGAAAATTGGGAGATTCAATCCGCGGTTCTACAAACCAAAAGTATGGCAGAATGACGTATAGCGGAAAACCGTGCTGAAAAATTAAACACTACAGTGGAAAGATAGGGTCTGGCAGGCTGTGTCTTGGCATGTATACACAATAATGCAAGCAACATTGTGCTCGCCAACACACCGAGGTATGTTACATTGCAGCTAACCATAAATCATGAGTTTTCTTCAAGTAGTGTGGATTGTGCTGTTGCAGCTGCAAGTAGACTAGTTGCACACTGCCACCACAGCACGGTGGCTGCAAAAGCACTCAAAGAAAACAAACACAGCTTCAGGGTAAGTGACACTGTCTGATCCAGTCATGTAAAACTCACTAGAATTCATTATATGGCATGCTCAATATATGACTCCATGAGCAAAGGTGGGCATAACAGCTGTGCTTTCAGATAGCCCTGTAACAAAACAATCTGATACCCAAACACTTCAGCTGCAAGATGAGCACTGGTAATTAGTAGAGGATATCTTATCGCTACTTTCCACTTTAAAATGCGCTACCACTGCCATGTCTGCTGAACAGTTAATCTTATCCAAACTCACCTCAGAAGCGAAGTGCCCGTCGAAAATGGAAAAGTCACTGATTTCAAAGCTGCTGTTCGTCACTTTCTGGAGCATCGCATGAAACCCAATGATCCTGCCATAACTGCCAAACCTGCACTTATTGCCTCCTTGTTAGATCCACGGCATAAACACATGCAGTTTCTATCGCTGGTTGTCCAGATAGCTGCTAAATCAAAGCTTCTGCAACTTGCATTGATGTTAGAAATAGAAGAACCTCCAAGTGCCATGGCTGAACTGGATGAGCCAATAGAGCCAGTGCTGAAAAAAATGCGTGAAACTGAGGAGTGCTGTAGTGAAGCTTTTAGGTGAAGATTATACCAATGAGGAGAATGCAGTAGAAAATGAACTGGAAAATTACTTCTGGGAGCCTTGTCCTTCATTGGAATGCAGTCCACTGGCGTGATGGAAGGTTAATGCACTGCGTTTTCCAAGGCTTAGAATGCACATACCTGTGCATTCCAGGATCGTCTGCCTATAGAACTGGGGTGGGCAAACTACAGCCTGTGGGCCAGATCCAGCCCGCGGGATTGCCCGTTGTGGGCCCCGCGCCGCTCTCGGAAGCAGCCAGCACCAGGTCCCTGCGGTCCCCGGGCAGGGGGGCAGAGAGCTCCGTGCGTTGTCCTTGCCTCCGGGCCCCACCCCCCGCAGCTCCCTTTGGCCGTGGTTCGCCGTTCCCAGCCAATGGGAGCTTTGGGGGAGGTACCTGGAGGCGCAGCAAGGGCAGCCCTGGCCCCGATGCACGCTGCTGCCACCCCGGAGCCGCTTTAGATAAGCGGCGCCGGGCCAGAGCCCAAACCCCTCCTGTACACCACCCTCGAACTCCCTGCCTTAAGCCCCCTGCCTGCACCTCGCACCCCTCCTGCACCCCAACCCCCTTCCCTGAGCCCCCTCATACACCCCGCATCTCTTCTCTGCCCCAATCCCTTGTCCTGAGCCCCTTCCTGCACACCGCATCCCCTCCCACACCCTGCACTCCCTCCCGCACCCCAACCCCGGCCCTGCATACAATTTCCCCACCCAGATGTGTCCCTCAGCCCAAAAAGTTTGCCCACCTCTGCTATAGAACATGTTTCCAGTGCTGGCCTTACTGTTAATTATCTGCGCAGAAGACTGACACCAGAGCATGTAAACATGTTAATTTTTCTTAACAAAAATCAGTAGTAGAGTTGAAATTCTAATCTAACTTTTTGTGTTTTTGGACGGCTCGGGATAGTATGTAAAAAGTTAAACAAAAAAGTGGGTTTTACACATAACTGTCTATTTTTGTTGTTAGTAAAGACACTTGACAAAGATAATATATACATGGGGTAGATTATGAACTTGTTAAGGATTAAACGTTTAGCTGATATAGTTTCAATAGTTTAAATGGTTACTTTTTAAAATGCTATTTAGATCCCTAGTTAGGACAAGGATTGAAGGAGAATATCATGTCCAATTGAAATTGCAGGTGGAAGTTTCAGTTGGGAGAATGTAGTCACACAACTTGGAATTTGAGCAGGATGTTAGGTGAACACCACGTTCTTTCATTAAGTGTCATGAGATCTTTAATCAAAATGAGACACAAAACTGAGTTTGACCTATCTGAAAGATAGCACTTCAGCATAGTGCTTACCAGCGCCAGGATGGGGGGACTTGCTCAATTTTGACTTGGAAAGAAGAGTACCATCTACAGAATAACCGGCACCTTTCTCTTCTTGAAGTTTAGAGCAATCTGTTTTCTAGCAGTGTAAACATACGCA